GGCTGGTGTGGGTCTTCCGGGCTGTGTGGCCGTGGTCTTGAAGTCTTGTTTCCTAACGTTTCGCCAGCACCTGTGACCGGCATCTTCAGAGTTAGGTTACTGAGTGGCTGCTTGTTTTGGAGTCAGCATCTCTGTGTTTTCAAATAGGATTTTGTGTCCAGTGTGCTTGAGAGCATGTTCAGCCACTCAGTAACCCAACCCCACCCACACCCCCCCAGATCTCTATAAATACCCACAGAAGGGTCACTTCACCCTGGGCACAGAGAGAACTGCTCCTGTCTGTGCTCCTGCACTCTGAAGATGCCGGTCACAGGTGCTGTGCGAAACGTTAGGAAACAAGACTTCAAGAGCACGGCCATACAGCCCGGAAGACCCACACCAGCCAACCTAATTGTAGTCTCATTGGTGATTTATAGTCTTTGTAGTTTTAGAACTAGATTCCTGACCGGACTATACAAGATGCACGTTGAATGATTTGATGTAACATATTTTCTTAATGCTTGCTTTTTTGCATTCTTCAAGTTGGTAGACTTAAAACATAATAGCATCAGTGCATTATGTAATTAATGCATCCTAATTACCCATATAAATAGGAGGAATAGTTCTACTAAGTGACAGTGAGTGCAACTGTGGCCAGTCCAGGATGTAAATGAAATAGAAACAACTTGAAAAGTTGCATTAGTGAAAAGACATACGTATTAGAGAAAGTTGCAGATGATAACAAATGTTTGCCAAAAGACTGACAGAATAGAATAATATGTAGAACCTTACAATACCACAATGAGCAAATTTTGGCTAAGCAGCGTGTTCCTTGTTCTATGTGTCACTTGTACTATCCTGGCAAATGAACTGCTAAAATTACTGGCCAATAATACATATTTTAACCTGCTTCCCAGTTTAACTATGTTAACCATTTGTTATACATCAAAAAGAAAGGGTAAGTACTATTTGTTTACAACAACAATAACAAAATAGCTCCTGCCTCTTTGTCTGCTTTCTTGGTGATTTACCATAACCTAGTGATTATTGAAGTCTGGTTTATTTTCCAGTCAGAATTGTTAATTTCCTTTAATTTATTCTGAGGCTGAGTTTAAATGACTTAGTTTTCAATGAAAATGTACCAGAAATTTTAAGTAAAATCAGTAATTTGTTATGTATTTATGCATTTTGTGATGATCTTCTGTACACATATATTTTTATTTTTCAGGAAAGAAACACAAAGCTGAATTTCAGCTTTTAATTGACCAAATGAAAAAGCGAAAGAAAAATGCAAGTAAAGAAGAGATAAAGGAAGAAAGACCAGAGCAGAAAGAAGCAACCACTGAAAAAGTACCTATAGAAATTGGTATGCAGCGCTAATTATGATAAATTAATGTGTATAATTTCATTAATTAAACAAAAAATAGAACATATTAATTTCCATAAGACTTGATTTAGTGAACTTCTAAAACACTTGTCCAACTTTATTTTGTATATTTCTAGTTCTGTAAGATAGAATTGTATCCTACTGAAAGTGTGTTTATGAGTTGCTTGTTTACTCACTTGTTTACTAACAATCGTACTCTGAAATCGAACAAGGAACGGTAGGCATGTATTTTAATAAGGTGTTTAAAGTCATAAAGATGCACAGGTTGAACAATTATTTTCTACTATATTCTATGTTAAAGAAAGTCCACAGGAAAGGAAAGTGTATATCAAGAAATAAAAACAGTTTTTGGCTCCTGCATTTCTAATTCCTAATATTGCAATTATTTTTTCTGATGGTTTGAATTTCAGCTATCCAGCTGATTTCAACTTCTAACTTTTCCTTCTAGATAACCTATTTCTTGTCATAAGGAACATCAAGTGTGATTCAGTCCTTGTGTATGCATAACCAATTTGCCCTATTTCTTGTGCAAAATTCTAACAGCTGATTGTATCCATACTCATTAACGTTGCTCCCTGCCTGGGCGAGAAATGTTGAATATGGAGGCATGAGTTGGGGAGAACAACAATTGGATGAAAAAGAATGTGACTAAAAGGATTTAGAGCAAGATAAAATGATTAGGCTTGAATTGTGGAATATTTTGTATACATATGAAATTGCAGATTGGTTGCTCATTGTAAGAGAGATACAATGGAACTAAAGAATGTGTGAGAATAAATAGAATGCTAACTGAATGGTGCAACACTGAGTCAGGAGTAAGAAAGGATGTGAAGTGGTTTGGTCATACACAGATAATGAATGAAGATCAAATCACAAAACAAACGCATGAAGGAAAATTGGTTGAGAGGGAGATGAATACTGAGAAAGTCAGTTAGATGTAGTTGATTAGATCCTTCAGACAAAAAACAAAAGTCTAAAGAACAAGAATCATTGTACGAATCAGTATATAAATGTGGTGCAAGCAAGGATGGTTAGCAAGGAAATGAAGTATGAGGTGATAATAGTGAATTATGTTGGTATAAATTAGATTTAGTGAGATTTCCATTTTCTTCTTGTTTTCTGTGTCAGATTTCTTTTGCTTAATACTCTTTTTGTGAACTTTGCATAATATTGCTTACAGTGAAAAGGGATAGCATGCCTGAGTGTGTGTGTGTGTGTATGTATTTGAAGTCTGAATTTTTTAAAAAAATCATTATTTACTTTTATTTATGGACAGATTCAGTTTTTGCTACGTCTATGGAAAACATATTTTGCGCTTTCATCTTGGCAATCACTTCACTTTAAGCATCTAAATCCCAACTGTTCTCAAGTTAACAAGTTTGCTATTCTGGCCTGTCACTGAATCTTGACCTGTTTTTTTTTTTTTAAGTAAAGCTGTCATGAATAAAAATAAACAGAAATACCAAGTTGTTTTTCGAACCTTGCTATTGACATCTTATGCACCACTTGAAGCCAAAAAAAATTGAAAGGCTTCCAGGAATAGAATTTATTGCTTTTAGTTTATCCAGCAATAGTGTTCTTCTTTTGTATGTTCAGAAATCTTATTGGATGGAAGAATACCAAACTTATAGTTTGCAGTCCTTTTTACTTGAATTGTTCCATAACACTGAAAGACTGATCAACACTTCTAGTTAAAATAATACAATCATGCTAAAAGAATGGTCTGTAAGGTGAGAAATATTCCACAGTTAGAATAGATTGTTCTAGTAGATTCAGAGCGTAGTGGACGTGCATATGCATCAGCCCTTCGAGGTAGGCCAGACCAGGAAACTGACTCCACAAGTTTGATTAGAACTGTACTATATGGATAAAGGCGATAGTAATAGAATTTTGAAAGCCTTCTCATCTGCACTGGTGCCTTATGCCTCTCCTTCTCTACTGTTTGCACTTTTTTCCTCCTCTTCTTTGAAGTTTTCCCATTTCCTCTGGTTTATGTATGTATTCAATCAATCGATATGACATTCCAACTCAAACTGTGACTCTGAGTAGCCAATGTACTGTGGGATGAAAGCCCAAAACATAAACCAATAAAATAAAAACAACATGAAGGAAACATAACCTAATCAAAGCCAACCCAGAGTCATTCAATTTCCAGGCGTTCCAGACAAGCTCACCTAGCACCCTGGCCCAGTGCCTGGAGGAAGACAGGTCTTCAAGGCCTTGTGGAAGGTCAACAGGGTCAGGATGATCCAACTGTCAGGAGGAGTCTTTTTCCAAATGGCAGGCACCCTGACAGGCAGAAATGGCAGTTTTGTTGTCACTTCTTCCCACCACCCAGGATCCAGTCTTCTTGTAATAGTATTTCGACTACAGTACTGTTGTAGGAGAAGGGGCAGGGTCTGTATGCGTGTATGAGTATGCTTTGGTATGTTTGGGTTTATGTCTTTGTGTAAAGGGTTTTATTATTAAACATATCAGTGAGCCCCTTTTATACAGTACATGCCCCCCCTTTAACACTTTCCTTAACATATCTTTCCAAAGCATTGCCAGCCCTTGCCCTATTGGATGTTATGTTCTTGCCTTTAACTAGGAGGAGTTAAGACAATAAGATTTATGGAGTCAGTTAATACTTTGAGGTTTTTTTTACAGATCAGCTGATCAATTACCATGGGCAAATTTTAGCAGGATATCTCAAGTCTTAGTTTACCAGCTGTAAAACTGTCATAAAGAAATGTCTTTGTAATGGGTCAGTGATATTGGTTATTCCAGAGACTAAGTACCCATATAAACAAATGCACATTTACATTTACTGTTTACTTCCTGAACTAGAAGTGTCACTTACGCATATATACATACCTACCCAGCTGGGTTTACCTGGACAAACTAGGCTTGAGTTTCAGAGGAATCAAAGCAGGACACTTGGGGTGCATGGTGCCCTACTCATTGTGATGATTTTGATGTACTACAGATCCTGTACATTTTTATACTTTTCATCATGGGTTGGCCAGTATCTGCTTTATGTAAGGTTTACCCCGTTCGTCTCAGGGAAACTCTCGTGACACGTGTGTTCAGCAGTTTACTCAAGCGTAACGTAAGTAAGTACAGACAAAGCCAGGGTTGGCTTGACATAGCTTACATGGTATTTTATAGCTTCCCCGTTCCTGCGCTTTAGTTGCTTAGTTACAGATTACCCGCAGTAATCCCCCCTTCCTCTCCCAAATGGCAGATTCAGTCCTGTGCTTTTGTCTTTCTGATTGCAGTCTATGGGTTGTGCTGTTGTTGCCTTTGTTGGGTTTGCCTGTTTGTGCGCAAAGCCGGGAGTTGGGAGTTCTCGATGGCTCGTTGATTGCTTTGCTTCGGAGCCTCTGCACTTTCCTTTGTTTGCGGTGCCCAAGGGAAGCCTCGCTGATACAAAGTATCCGCTTGCGGTTTGAGCCACCTCTCAGCAATCAGTTCGCAGTTTCACTTCCCCTTTTTCTCTGCTAGTGCCTGGGCAGTGAAATTGACTAGGCGAAGCTGAGCAGTGCGTTCGCCCTGCCATTCCATGCTGGCTGAATCTGACACTTGAAACTCCCCTCAAGCTTTCTCATACTTTTCTGTTTGAGTGCTATCACCTCATTCAGGACCTACAGTTCCTTGTTTCTCATGATTTTTATTGCCCAGACTTCTACTCCTGAAAAACAGTTTTTTTTCTCCTTCCCTTTTCCACTGTTTCCCTTTGCTAAAAAGGCATGGGATTTGGCAACCGGGGTAGGGAGAGTGGCAACATTTAGAGATATTGACTTTCATATAAAGGTCTCTTCCATTCATATGACTGCCCTTTTATATCAATGTTTCTCTCTGCTAGTTTTATTTATTTATATACACAGGTGTGTGTGTGTGTGTAACCATCTGACTTGGGAAAGGCTATTATTTATTTATTAAAATTGCTGAAGTTGCTTTATCAAAGAGGGCTCGGTCTACTTCTGATTTGAAAAGCTTCACAAGAGTTAAGATTTCTGTGTTCAGTGACTAAGGAAGAGTTGATGCTCATTGCTGAAGGTAGAGCAGTTTCTTTCTGCAGGTTTGCTAATCCCTCTATGAGGTGTGGGAAAAAGAGTTCTTGTTGACATACTCTCATTTCTCATGCTGCCTGTTCCTTTTCTTCCAACATCAGAAAGTAATTATTTCATTTGAACTGCAGATTTGTGTAATATGGCTTTTTTTTTAAGTTACAAAATTCACTTAAACGTTTTACAAAGTTTAACAATAAGTAGTTTTAAAGGATGGATTTTCAAAGGATTATGCAATATACAAACTAGCAGGCCTTATGTTCTTGTCTGAACATGTTTCAATTCTATACTAAGGAAATAAGTATTTTGAAGTAAGTGTCAGTTGAAACATAGCCGCACAATTTGCTTATGGTTGTGTTGTGATATTTCTGCCAGGAGAAAAATTAAATGTTGAAGAGCAAAGTGACTGGGCCTCTGTCAGCGATGAGTCCCCTGAAACAGAAGCTCCAGGCTGGGAAGGAACCCATTCTCTTGTTGCCACCTTTCAGTCCTCTGCATCCTCAAACAGGTGTGTATATGTGTGTATGTAGTCTTTGTCATTAGAGAGGTGGGCCCCAAAATGTAAGAAGAGCGTTGAATGGGACGGATGTTCAGATACAATTAAAATTACTCTATACCTGACAACAGATACCTAAAACTACAGTATATAGTATTTCCCTTCACTGCACATTGCATCCCTGGGGTGGTGGAATTGTAGGCCCTGTTCTAATATGTGATTGCATTTCCTGATATATGGAAATCCATAATCATGTCATACCCACAGGATGTATACGTTGAGCAATGTTTTCCTGTTTCTTTGTTTTTAACATAATCCATCTGTCTAGTTAATTTCCATTCCAGGTCTTGTTGCCTACTCTTCCACCCTCCTGATTTCCAAGGTATTGCTTTGTCTTGCTTTCTGCTCCTGTTCCCATCCTCTGTATTTATAATTCCTGTTTCATTGTTTTTGCTGCTTTACAGATTTATTATTGCGTATCAGATATATAATGCAGCATACTTAGCTACGTATAACAAAATTCTTCGCTGTTTCTCTCATTCCTTTTCTATGCCTTATTGCATTCTGTGTTTGGAAGTCTCCTCAGATTCAGATACCATTTATCAAAAGCCATGTTGAGTCGTGCTTGGAGAAACAAAAATAGCCTTGGCTCCTCAAATTTACCAGTCTCATCCAGTAGTTTCTTTCTACAGGCCAGTGATTTTAAAGGCACCTAACCATTTTTGTTATTGTGAATGTACAGTGTTACCAACTTGTAGTCAAGTTTCAAAAAATCCTTAGAACAGAGTAGATAGAAATTTAGGAAGCTGGTTTATATTATTCAGAACATTAACCCTTGCAGCTTAACAATGTCTACTCCAACTACCAGTTGTCCCGCTAGGGTTTTCAGACAGGGTGCCTTGGCCCTCTCTGGAGATACCAGGAATTGTATGGACCTTTTACTTACCATGCAGCCCTTCTCACATTATGCCATGGTCATAAAAACAGAGAAAAATGCCTCAAATTGAGTCAAGCAAACAAAGTTCATGTATTCCTTTGTTGTTTGTATGAATTGGCTGCAGTTCTGTGGGGTTCTCAATAAGCATTTTTCCTTATTCTGGAAAACTCCTTTGCTTTCAGTTCCTGAATGCTATTGCTAAACTGTGGCCTTTCCTCTGGAAACTTCTTAATGAAAAATGCCAAAAAACCAAATTTAACTTAAAAACCACATCTGTAACATACTTGAGGTTAGTGGTACTTGTGAATTAGCAGTAGTCTTTTGTTTTTATTTTTACATATTTTTGGCACAGTTGACTTTTTCAACTGTTCTAGGGGTCTTAATGTGCATATTATTTCATCCATTCATGCTTCAGAGATTACCTTTATATGATTTGCCATGTTTGTTGTCAAGAAAAAAATAATTAAAGCAGATAGGCACATGAGAATGTAAAGCATATACATTTGAAGAGGGAAATTGGCAATGTCGGTTATATTTTGAGAAAACAGTTTTTGAAAAAGTAAATGTTTAGCATACTTAAGGAACAGATGTTTCCCGTTGTTATTGTATCTCTGGCTAACAGAATGCTAGTCCAACGCACTGCAGCCAAATAATTGAACAGTATTTTTACATTATGTACATTTTAGCTGCAACTTGGATAAAAAATCTGCAGTTTATTTCTGTGTCTGAATATTAAAATATTATAAGTCACTTATAAACATATTGAAAGAAGGGAATTAGCAGCACTTGTCACCTGCAGAACATAGGCATATAGTAAGCTAGATTGTATCAAGTCAAACTATTTATTTATGTAGCCCAGTACTATCTACTCTGGCTGCTAGAGGCCCTGCAGAGACTGCTGCATGGACGTCCTTCATATCAGCTACTACCTGGCTTTTTAAATTGGCTGCTGTCATTTATTACTCTATTTTAATGGTAAAATTATGTGTGGAATTCAGTCATTCTCTACATAAGTGCTTAAGTCAACAATATTAAGGATGGGCAGATAGCTTTGTATTATTGTATGTCTCGAAGCCAAAAAAGAATGTTCCAAACAGATAATCTTTCTTCTGTAATATGTCAGCAAGTTAACATATTGCTTTTGTTTTTCATTTTACCAGTTGGCAAATAAACAGATATATCGCCAATGAAGAAATTTACCTGATTGGAATAAGGCAAACATACAGCTGTTTTTCATAGTGATATAATACATCAGAATTGATTAGGATGGTAGTTTATGGCTATACATCTGCCTGTCCCACTAGATTCTCTCCAGGTCCCCTCTCTTAATTGTTGCCACTTGGCGGAACCTAGGAAATGAGCCTTTCTGTAGCTGCTCCTGCTTTGTGGAACAGCCTTCCCCAAGGTGCAGAGGGCCCTCCCTTCCTTGCCTTCTGGAAGGCCATTAAGGCCTGGCTGTTCCCTCAGGAAGGGAGGAGGGGAGCTTGCTATTTGTGGTTCTATGGTGGGATTGTAATGGTGCTTGGTGGTATGAAAAATAAAATTAAAAAAAAATTTTTTTTGTCTGTTTATTGTTAGCTGCCCAGAGTTATTTTATATAATATAGGCAGCCATACAAATCTTTTAAATAAATACATAAATAAATGGTTACTGGTGTAGCAGATGAAAATTGTGGTGAAGAAGGTAAAGGTTCCTCAACATCCAGATGTCATAAATCTGATCCATTTTAGAATCTGAGTACAGAGAACCTTACTTTTATACCCTGTCTGTTGTCTTCCATAATGTCAGTGCAGGTAGTCCTTGCTTACTGACCACTCGTTCAGTGATTGTTTGAATTTGCAACAGCACTGAACAAGTGGAACTTACAACTGGTTCTTGAAGTTCTGGCCATTGCAGTGCCCCTGTGGTCACATGATCGCCGTTTGCGACCTCCCCTGCCAGCTTCCCACAGGCAAAGTCAGTGGGGAAGCCAGCAGGGAAGGTTGCAAGTCAATCTGGTAAGTCCCCCCCGCCAGCCTCCCTGTGTTCACATACACCATGCGCCGGGCCTTCCAAGCCCTCCCCCAACCTCTCCAACTAACATATGGCCTGCACTGGCCTTCTCAGGGCCTCCCCCAGCCCTCTAGCCTCCCACCCCCTCTGCAGCACCATCCCACCCCCCCTGGACACTCCCATGCTCTTTATCTGGAACTCCCACCGCTTCCCACTTAATGACCCATGCGTCTTGGGGTAAAGGCGGTAACGAGTTCTGCCAGGATTGCCATCGCTAAACCATGTAGTCAAGTGATGTTGTGCTTTACAACCACATCACTTGGTGATGGCAATCCCAGTCCCAATTGCCGTCGTAACCCAAGGACTACCTGTACTAAATTAATAGGAATGTGTGTTGTTGTTTTTTAACATACATAGGCTATGCATATTCTGTGTCAAAAGTATGCTAGATTTATTAGTTGTAGTGCTCTAACTTACTCAGAATGGTTACTGCTAACATTTCTTTCTATATAATTCTTCTAGCCCACTAGTGGAATGATAGAATTTAGATTTACCCTCTGAAAGAGCTTTCGAAGCTGTTGGGTATTTAAAAAGAAAAAAAAACTTGTTTTATAAATGAAAGTCTTAAGCTATTTTTCAGGGAGGTTTTTTAAAAAGATTGGCTCTAATATTCTAAACATATTTTCTTGGAATCAGGAAACATGAATTCAGATTATGTGTGGTCCAAATCTAACTATATGCTTGTAAATACTGGATTTACTGATCTGATCTAGTCCTTCTGATCTGAAAGCAGAAAGCTGTTTTAGAGCACAAGGGGATGCTCACAACCCCTGTCTGCAACTCCTTAAAACAGTTTTGCTTTGTTTTTTTCTGGGATCATGTAGCTGTCCTCCATAACTGCAGAATGGTTTTGGGAAAAGACCTGTTTGATGCTCCTGTGTATTCCAAAGCACCTTTTTGCTTTTAACTCCCAAGTTGTTTCCTGGTGTAATAAATTACCAAATATTTTCTCTACTTTATCTTGGTATTTGGCAGCATGATGTAATTCTTTTTTTAAAAAGCTAACTTAAATTAAAAAAAAAATTTTCAAGATCTTTTACAGAAAAAATGATCTGATTGAACAGAAAGTATCTTACGGAAAAAAATGTTGGAAGCTGGGCAGTACATACATTTTTGTAAATGTATAAATGAAATAATTAGAATTTTGTGATTTGAAATGTATCTCTACAAGGGACACTTTGCAACTGATTGTGAGGTGGATTCTCTTCTGTGTGGGGTAGAGGGTATTCAGTGACAAAGATCCAAGTGTATAGTGACGTGGCATGACTTTGCTCACGCATTGTGTTTAGGTTTTCAAGTACCTGAATAGGGCCTAAGTTGAGCCTTCCAGATTGTGTGCCAGGCCATTCTTGTCAAACATTTACTGTATGGTTACCTGTTTGGAAAGATTGAAGAGGAGGAATGGCTAGTTATACTTCAGCTTTAAAGCAGTTTTTCAAATCTGGAGACACAAAACTGTATTGCATTGGCAAATACTTAACTTGAAGGAAGAGTTCCTCTCTATTTCATCCAATGTTATAATAAAAATGTCCAGGGAATAAATGAAGAATGGATCAGTTTTGAAAGCTTATATTTACCACTTGTTGATAGGTAATGAAGTTCAAGAACAGACTATGGCACGTTAATGCCTTCTATAGAGAAAACAAACTTTACCACTAAATCAGGTCTTGCTAAAAGCTGATGTCTCCTTTGAGATTACTTTCTGATAAAAGGAGAGTCAGTTGTAAGCATGAAATGGAATTACATCAGGGAGATAATAGGCAAGCTCACAGAAATAGTGCTCTAAGAGTCCTCCCCCCCCTTTTTTTTTGACTCAGTTCATACAACATGTCAATCCATAACATGGTTTGGGTTTAGCTTACTGTGCTTTGTTAATTCAGCCAATGTGGACTGCTAATATTTTTTGTATATTAGTTGTACTAATAATATTAAACCAGTTGGGGAAAGCATGCAGAGCATGGCTTCTGGAATTCTTTCCAGTCCCTGAAGAAAGGTTCAGTTCTAGGTCAAGAAGAGGGAGTGA